TATATATATATCTCGCTTATAAAAGAAGCTGACAAGGCTGGCCACTATAAATGTTTTTTTCACACCCTACCTTGAAAATCTGCTCCAAATAGACCTTGTACGCAAAAAAGAGGAAGAGAAACAGGCATATGTTTTAAGAAACATAAATAGAAGTGTAGATTTGATCAAAAATGAGAAAAGGCTTCGGACTTCTGCACAGAAATGCAAATTACAGTGAGGCCAAACATCTGCAGCATTTTACAGAACTGTGGAAGGGGTTGTACAGAACTACACACTAAGAATATCTACTGCATTCAGAGAACTAAAGTTCATTAGAATTACTCTTGCCTTTGATCCGAACGAGATGGTCCTGCTCCAGAACGAATCCTGGAGATTCCACGAATTAAATTATTCGTTAATTCAGTTAACAGTTACAATACCACATGAAAAACAAATATGGTTAAGTGTTTATCCTCTTGACACCCAGAAGAAAAAATCTTTGATATTTACATTATTTTTAGATAATTTAAATATTGTGGTTGAAAGGAACATGTTATATATTGCTACATATTTTTACATATTTTCTTTCTTCAAAATTATGATTTTTATTTTTATTTTGTCCCCTGTACTAGACATAAAGTTCATTCTGCATGCCAAACACTCACCTCAACCTGGGTTATTAATTCATGTCACCCATGGCACTAACAATGACCATGGATTGTATGACAGAGGGCTGAGTGAGGCAGAAGAAGAGTCATCCTAGTCATCCAGATGAGGTAGTGGAAGGACAAATAACAGAGCAAAAAGATAAAAGCTCAGATAGCGACATACAGCTTCTAAGGAGGGACAAAATGATGACACCTGATGTCCATTATTGATAAGAAGTATTATTACTCTGAAGTGGTGGGATTTTGTTTCTCAGCTACCACAGAGGTTGCCTCTATGAAGGGAATCAACCATCTGTGGCCTTAGCGGGGGTGTAATGTGTGAATTTGCATTCAGAGGTCTACATTAAACCATGTTTTACTATAGATGCTGGGTGCAATTATATTGTTCCTAAACAAAAGCTAATATGTCTTGCTCTGAGGTTTCACCTTCCTGCTATAATGTTTGGCCTTTCTCTGCCTCATTTCATTAAAGATCCAAGTTTGACTCCCCTTCCACAATTTTGAGTAAAATCCTTTTGACTTTGTTTTAGCAACAGAATCATAATATCTGCAAAAATGGTCCTTTACATAGAGGTCTCAGGCTCATGTCCTCCACAGATGACAAAAGTGGATCTTTGGGTCTTAGGAGGATGACTTATTCAGGAATGTGGCATGCGTTTGTTTCTCTTTGTAACGTACTAAGCAAATGTGATTTCATATGACAAAAATGCAAGATGCATTAAGCCTTAAAAAAAAAAAAACAACACTGGAGGGTAAGGGCAGCTGGTTTTTTCCTCTGTTTCCTCTCCAACAAATACTATTTTCTCACCTGCGAGACATCCTCGACAGCCGATTCCACATGCTAAAAATTGGGGAAAACTACATTATGATAATGAAAGAATACATTTGAAATAATTTAAAATCACTGTGTTGTTTTTTTACCTGCCATCTCGACTTTGAAGCTCTTCAATGCGTTTTCTTTAACAAAAAAGTTGTTTATTAAGAAGCATGCAAATTAAGATGCTGTACACAAAAAGTTAAATTCCATAATTGTTTTAAATTAAAACTGAAGACATGCCTTATAAAAATAAAATACTTATTTTTCCTCAAGGTGTTTTGCCTATCAGATATTTGCTGTCAGTTAAGATCGGTGACATTGTATTACTCACTTGTATTTTTTAGTCATGAAAATGCAGACGAGTACAAAGGCCACAGTGGTACCAATCCCCACCACAGAGGGAATGATGATGTGATTATAGTTCTCTACACCTGAAAAAAATAGAAGTCGTGTTAGTGCCCTTCTTTTTTGCTGCAACAGTAGAAATGAGACTAAACCTAGTTTTATTTTTAAAGCAGAGTAAAACTTCTATTCAACATTACAAAATTCAACAACCAATTAAAAATATCTCACGTTTTACATGGAGTGTGAAAGTTTCAGGTGATTTCAGCCCTCCATTAAATTCAGCAGTGCAGGTTATCTCTCTGTTGTCATCCTTCTCCTCAGGAATAACTGTCAGGATGGACTGTGTCTCCCAGTTTCCATGTTTAATATCTTTATGATGCACAATGACCTTTGTACTATCCATATTCCATGTGAGTTTAGGAACATGAGTGGGGCAGGTGTGGATGACTGAACAGGTGACAGTGTAGGGCTCTCCTTGAGTGGCTGTCTTTGGTTGGATCAATGTAGGCTTTGGAGGCTCAGCTGAAAATGAAAAAGGCAGACATAGAGTAAGAGGCAAAATGATTTAACAGAAAACTGGTATAGATGTTTGAAGTCATGGAAGTTGGTGACATACTGATCATGTTCAACTCAACGCAGTCTTCAACAAAGGAGAACTTGTCCTTGGTGGGGTCATTGTTTTCTGTTCGCACTAGTTCAACCCGGAAACAGAAAGGGCCATTGTCATGATTTCTAATTTGAGTTATTTCTAAGGTGCAGTTGTTCTGGCCCAGATCTCCCACAAGCTTTGTTCGGCCCTTAAAGTTGTCCTTAATCAGTGTATAATCCTCATGATAGATGTTGCTTTTTTTGTCATTTTTTTCATGCCAGATTCCTCTGAGTCTGGAGGAGGGCAGGTTTCCTCCAGTATGGGAGAATGAACATGGTACCACAACACAGGATCCAACCAGAGCGTCAATGCTTTTTACAACAGTGGCCTTCCATTCATCACTGGACACAGAGCTACAGATGGCTGACAGAGAATTTTGAAAATAACAAGGAAATTATTTAATTATACATATTAAGCATAAAGAGACTGGAAATAAATAGCTGACCAGTGATGTTACCTGCAAAAAGCAGAAAGAATCCCATCAAAAGTTTCTGCTTGGCCATTCTTCTCTGATGTTGGGATGTTTGATTGACACTAAAGAAACCAAAACACTACATTTTACCATCATAACCAAAATAAACCACAGCTGTCAAAGTGAATGTTCAAACAGCATTAATGCAAATAGACATTTATATATAATTATTTATACCAATTTGTATCTGACAAATACAAGCCATCACAGTAGAAAAGGGATTTCCCCTCTGTGTAATGTAAATAAAGTATATTTCACAAGTAAATAATGGCATTATTTTAGTAAAAGTATCATATATTGCTTATATGTATGTGTGTAATTTAAACAAATGGGTAAAACGGACAATACCAAAAATACAGCCATGGAACAAAACCTTCAAGTACCACTAGAGGGCGTACCCTTCATTATTTAGAATCCAATGTTAAAATTTTATTTCATTTTTTAAATACATTTCTGAATGGAAGAATAGAATGTCAGTCTTGTGAAGATATGAAAAATAAAAGATATTGTGTATCACTCTTTGTGCCAGTTAGCTGTTTTAATTTTGTGCACATACTCATCCAAGTCAGAGTTTTTTTTTTAAAACTCTCTTAAAAACTTTTGCAGGATGGCTGCGGTTTCTTTTGGATCACTATCATGTTAGACATTTTTTTCTGAAGCGTCTTGAGACTGACATTAATGTTCCACTCAGCATTTGGGAATACAACATTTCAATAGTACTGACAACTATGAATGCCATGTCTTCGCACAATACCTCTCCTATCGAGTTTTCACCTGAGGTTGAAAACCCCAAGCAGTGACTGACAAACGTGTTAGCAAACATAGTGGATATTTCACTTTCTAGCCAAGCAATTTTCTGCTGTTCATTAGGCTTCTTTTTATGTTCATTTTAAATTAGTTTTTCTTTTTTGGTCTTAATAGTGTTAAGGTTAATCAATTTTGATTACACACAATATACACTAATATTTAACTTTCAAAATAATTTTTAACATTTTTGTGACACAGTAGTGTAGTCATATTTATTGTATAATGTTTATACACTCTGCTTTACTGTATATGTTATCACTACAATTACCAACAAATCTTTAAGAAAACCCCCCAAAACAAAAACAAACCCCATAACAGCTAAGGTGCATTATTTTGATTTCAAAGGTATGATAAAACCTATAAAATGAACACAAAAATCTACTGAATCTTTATCAGATCTATGTACTAGTGTCACCACATACAGGTGTATAACATTGTAAAGGATGACTTTTTTTTCACTTACCTGATAAAGCTGCTGCCTGGCTGATCTGAGACGCAACATTCACTCAGTACTCTTTCTTGAGAATAATGTGAGCTAATCTGGTCTGATGATGATTAGCACTGGATTCCCTGTCAAATGGAAAAAAGGGGAAAAGAAAAGAAGAAGAAACCAAACGACCAGAATAGAAAACAAAGTCAGTTTATTTCTCTATGTAGAAAAAAAACCCTGAAAGCAGATATCGAGGTGGTAGCAACTGATTTGTCTGTGCAGATTGCTGGGAGGGGTCTCTGTTGTTCTGTGTCTTCCATATTTGGGTGCATTTTGTTTTACTATTAGATACTCTGACCTAGATACCCACTCTGACCTCTGGGGGCAACACAAAAAACTGCAGGCTAATTGAAACACGGTCAAAATGCACTCATACAGTCACTATAGAAAATAACCAATTCAGACAGAGTTCAGAAAGGGTGCCTAACAGGTGTATTCAATAAAGATTTAAAGTTGTCCAGTCAGAGAAAATGTGCCCAAACAAAGGTCCAGAATATTCTACTGTTTCACGTGAATTGTGATTCAATGCAGTATATTTTGAGGTAGTAATGGTGTTAGTAATAGTAGTAATCGTGGAATCCATGTCTTTATTTATTCAACATCTGGCTGCCAAGTCAAAGAAAGAAACTACAATTCAATAACAATTTAAATAACATTTATCATTTAATTTATATGAACTGGAGGGTTCTTTGATAAAATGATAATAATAATAATAATAATAATAATAATAATAATAATAAAAATAATAATAATAATAATAATGTACCTTTTGCATTCAAAAGTAAAATATAGAACTTTTGAGAAAGTTGTCTTCAAATAAATCACTTAATAAACAAAACATAAGGAAAAGTTGTAGTTTCAGTTTCCCTCTTTACTTCTTTTTCCTCAACTAAACTTCAAATGTGACAATCTCACAAAAATATATCACTTACTACTTCAGAATTCCTTGTCTCGTCTCCTCGATGGCACTTCGACTCTGAAGGAATGACTTGATTCGCTGGGTAGTGTCATGTGTGATAAGTACAAAACGTGACTGTTCTGTGGCTTTAATGTGGATGTGTGTTTGCATTGACTACCGTAAAGACAGCAAAGCTGTGCAGAATGAAATAACCTTACCGTAATAATAAAAACAGATGTGCAGAGTTAAACTGGATCAAAATCTCATAATAAGTCAGTTTATGGATCTGCCTGTTGGTGACTTAAGGCTTAGAATTTCTCACAGTTTTTTCTCCATTTGTGCATTATGTTGTTTAGAAGGCGATGATCACAAATCCCAAGGGCTTGGCAACTGATTGTCAAACATCAGCAACACTCACTCTTGTTGTAAAGAACAAAAACATTGATGCCATTGTCTCTCTACTTCTGTTAATATCCTTGTGAAAAGAAAAAGCCACTGTGCAAACAAATTTTTTTCAAAAGATGAATGAAACGCACACTACATGATGAATGAATGAAAAAAACGGAGAAAATAAACAGATTGTGATCATTAATAACTCTTTAGCCCAGTCTGGGTCTTATTTTTCTCTCTTTCTCTTCCCTGTCAGTGGTAAACGTTTCTTCATACAGGTGCTCCTCCCCAGCGTCTCCATATGTTTGCCTGATATTCCCATTCACATATTCAATGATCAGCTGGTTAACTCACCTGCTCCTCATAAATCATAAATTCCACTATTTAAGCACACTTTGAAAAAGTACTTAGCCACACAAATTATGTGTGCAACTCCAAAAAACAATTTCTGTCCACTATAAGACAGAGGAGAACATCACAAGCCTGATACCTGCACGCCTGACAGCAGGAGGTGTATCACTCCTCCTGTTTTTTTTTCACCGGGAGACAGCGTTTACACTACAGTCTGCCTGTAGTAGCTTTTTGGCAGGAACTGTGTCATTGACCAGTCACCTCATTGTTCTGATACACAAAACAAAAATATTGACTACACTACACAGTAGATACACACTGCAAACACACTAAACATCACAAATCTCTCACATCTCAAAGGACGTCTCTTTCATTCTCTCACTGCCATCACTCCTAAAACCTCCCCCTCTTCCTAAACAACCAAATTCCATGTTGCCACATAATTTGTTGATTGGTCGACATGGTACATTTTTCCACCAATAGGAAAGGGGTGTTTTTTTTCTTTTCTTCTCTTTTCCTTTTGTTCACAAGCAGAGTGTTTGCAAGCACTGTCGTTAGACTGTGAACGATAGTATTCAGGAAAAAGCATTGAGTATATTTTTTTTATCATGACTCTGGTTTTACATGGCCTATCACCACAATTTAAAACTGGTATATATATATTTGAAGGCCACACTTTTAACACGAAAATGGAAAATCATGGTTGTCTTGGGTTGACAGCGTCTTGTTTCTATTTTATCTTGCAGTTTTACCCAATTGTTTACACACATTTTCTGAAAGCATGCCTTATATTTCCGAACTCTACACACAAATAAAAAAAAACACACACACACACACAATGGATAAAACCCTTCAATTCTTCTGCAAGATGAAACTCTACATTCAAAACAATGTAATTTCTTGTCAAAATGGCATTTTGTTTTCAAATGAGACACACAAACCATCACATGAATAGACATTTACAGTTTTTTCTGAATGCTTAAACCCTAACTGTGATTCCTGTAGCACAATCTCTAAAACTATTCAGACTTATGGCAAAACCACTCACTGAGTTTGCAAAACTAAAAGCACCAAAACTGCTTTGCACTCAGTTTGCAATTTTGTAACACACAATTTGCAAAACTGTAGGCACAATTCACTGCACAACACTCAATTACCAAATTTCCAACACACTCCTAGCAAAAGCATACACATGTATGGCTATCATTACAGTTTTTTACAGACGCTAGGACACATTTCTCAATACTTAGGTCACTTTTGCAAAACTCTTCACACAATCCTCCTAACTGACCTTCAGCTTGGCACAGCAGTTCATTTCACATTCAAAATGCACTACAACTACCAAAACACTTCATTCAGGTCTCAAATAAACTCATTCTTCCAGAACACTAGCAAAGGTTGACAGCCGACAAACACACTTTGTCACCCACAAAACAATGACCTAAAAAACACTAACAACATGTTACACAGTGTTTTCTTGTGTAAAACAAGGACACATCTCTGTTTATAATTTCAATATATGTTACTGGAATGAATCAGACATCATGCAGAATTCGTTAATATTTGTTTCTGTATTTTTATTTTTTTGCACTAAGTAATCCCAAAATACAAGAATTTGTATACACACCATCCACTGATACTCATACAATAGTAATGCTAATCTACTCGGTCTTCTCCATTTGGCCACTGGTTCTCATCCACATCACATCTCATGTCATCTAGGGCAACACACCTAGGAAAGAATCTTCTGGCTGCCAGAATTGAAGGAGTTGAACAATTGAAGGAGTAACACCTGTGTAGATGTTCATCTACAATGAGAATCAGCTGTGGCTGGTTAAACTGCATTTTTAGATTTAAAATATGTTTCAATAAAATATTGCTGTTGATTTTGCTGTCTTTTAAGTTTTGCATTGTGTTATTGTTTTGGCCATAAGTTTAACAGTTTTGAAAACAGTATGTAAGCACATGCAAAATGTCCTGTACGTACAAAGATTTTTGGCAGTTGTTGTGTCTGAGTGAGAAGATAATTCATGAAATTTGAGAGATGTAGTCATTGAATGCATTTTGTGCCAAAACAATGATAACTGGTCCTCAGTTTAGCCCACATAGACTTCTGTTGTGCTCACTGTGTGAGGAGTTTTGCAAACGTGACCTAAGTATTGAGAAATGTGTCCTAGCGTCTGTAAAAAACTGTAACACTAATTTGCCAACTGTCTGGCACACTTTCACATGTGAAAACTTTTTTAGATAATTAGTTCACTTTGCAATCAGCCTAAGCACTATAATACAGGTAAGCTGTGTGTGCGGAGTACAATGGAGGGAGCAGAAAGAGTGAGAAGTAGAGGAGGCCGAGGAAGAGGACGTGGAGGTGAAGAAGTAGGATGAAGAGGACGACAAGGACAAGGAGGAGCAAGAGGAAGACGAGGAGGGGGGGAAGATGAGGAGGGGGAGAGGAAGGGTAGGAAGAGTAAGAAATAGAATTGCTGATGACATCAGAGCTACAATAGTGGACCATGTAATCAACCGTGGAATGACCCTGAGGGTAGCTGGCCAACGGGTCCAGCCTAACTCGAGCCGCTACACTGTAGCAAGTACCATAAGGACATCTTGAAATGAGAATCGGTTAGTACAGTCACTTCGCACAAAGATTTGTAGCACTGCCATATGCCAATGAGAAACACACCAATACCATTGATGTAAAAATACTGAAATTGTTACTTTACAGAATTGCTAGATGACCAGATGCTGGGGGCAGAGGAAGCATGTTCACTGCAGACCAAGTAACCCATATAGTCATTATGGCGATTGCAAATAATCCTATACTTGGAAATAAACACTTGTGTTTGTTTTGATGTGTTTGAATAAACACCAGTACTTGAAGTTTGGATCCCTCTATGCTTATGGATCTATGACAGAAGTATGAGCTCAAACTGACATAGCCTACCTTGTGCACAGAGAAAGCAAAAGCCAGATGTGTTTTGTATTCATACCATCAGTGTGCAGTTGGCGCATTGTGTGCTTAGTAGATGATGGCTTGTGTGTACTGTTTGATACGGAAACACCATTTTTACGAAGGTGTGAAGAGTTAATCTAGCTGTGTTTGCTTTTGCAAGAGAACTACAATGTTTTGATATTGGGTGACAGGTTTTCTTATTTGTGTGAAGAGTTTTGCAAAATTAGCCAATAGTTACAAAAAATGTGCTTAAGCAATCAGAAAAAACTGTATAAGAAACAGTTGAACACTGATGTGCTTAATGTAAAACACTATGACCACTTCTTCTCCAGTCATCAAAATAACTTACTGTAAGCCTCTTTTTTTTTAGTGTTACACTTATTACAGACAGTACATAGGTCTACATAAGTGCATGTGTATACAAAACACACATACATGGTACCAAATATATATACACTGTATTTTTCCCAAAAATGCAATGTACACAGTGTTCATCCCAACCAACACAAAGTTGCATATACTATGGTGTACTATGGCATACTACATAGGTGTCAAACTCTGGCCTGTGGGCCAAATTTGGCCCGCGAAGCCATACCAAATTACTATTAGAGCTGGCCTGCTGGTATTATACAGCTAATATATATATTGTTTAGTATTAAGCTTTGCTTGTTCCATCTTCAGTTTTTCATCAAAACTTGTTTGAGTCCATAAGAAAAGATTCATTCTTATATCTAGAGGAAGATTTTTTTTCAATAAATATTAATGTTAGCCCGCGACTTTGTTCCAGTTTTGAATTTTGGCCCACTGTGTATTTGAGTTTGACACCCCTGGTATACTATGTACAAACAACAGAAGAATGTAGAATATGGAGGGAGATAAACAACTAAAAAGCGTGGGTGGACAATGAACCAGTTACCGACTCTGAAACACACATGATACATAATATAGACTTGGAGTGGTCACTATTGTGAAGCATAATCAGAGTATGATTACTGTACAGT